GGGTGGTCCCAACCTGCATGAAAGATTCATTATTACAAGCTGTGACACATGGTCAGAGCGTTTTCCACATCAAACACCAGCTTTTAGAACGAGGAACAGACTAATGAGGTGGAGATGCTACGCCAGTCTATGAAAGCTTTCTACTACATGGGAAACTTCCAGGAATGTGTCTGCTCTACAAATATCCACAATTCCTTTTGATGAACAAAATCTATAAATATACAGCATATTTTTACAGTTTCTTCAAAATAGATGCATGTTTTAGTATAGCTTTGAAAAGATAGTTCGTATAGTTTGAAGGAGGTTATCAACTGTTAATATCACAGCTCTTTGAGTGTGATGTAATATTTAAATATTGACTGAATAGACAAAATGAGAGTTAGGCACAGAATTTACTGATGCCATTAAAAGTCCGTAATGATTAATGCTAACGTTCAAAATCCTTTTATCGATCATCAGTTACACCAAACACAGTTCAGACACATTGTGAAATTCATAAAATGGGCATGTACTCATTCTTTCAATAAGTCTGCTGCGATCTCTAGTATGAATGAATGCCTTGTGAGTCCTTTTCTGAGGAATAAATAGCTGTGATGCTCCAGTTTCAGGAATTAGGAACTCGTCAGAGGAGCGGGGACAGAAAAATGGCAGGATTTGGAGTCTTACTGTTTAATATTCATTATTTGCAAAAGTCTCGCCTATGATTGGCTAACAGCAATGCCACTCTTCCACTGGCGGGGCTTGTTCTTCTTTCATAGGTTAAAAAAATGCAACGTTTAAGGTTTATCTTTGCAAATAACACTATTCTGAACATGTTCTGCCAGGTAATGGCAATGGTAATGCTAATGGTTAGCTTGGGTTAATCGAGACATGCTAGGCTCTCTGGCTGCAAAAAACGAACACAGCCTTCCACGTTCACTAGCCTAGGAGGGTGAGTCCATGAACGTAAATTTGACTGTGTGTAGTAGAGCTGTCTGGCTTTTCCTGACCTGAGCGTTTTCCTGTCCATTTTGTTTTGAAGTCTAAAGCATGAAATAGGGGTTAAAGTCTAATTTTATTTTAAGCATGCAGATGAAACTCAGCGTGACCAGTTGTATTTAGAAAAGGAACAAGAATCAGAAGTTTTTCGGTGAACCTCTGCTTTAAAGGGGAACTAGGCAGCTTTGGCTTGTGTTTAGCACCCCTCAGTGTCCACTTGTAGAACCAAAACTAAAATGTATCTCCTCGATGTGTGTTTGTCTTTTTAACACCTTAGTCTAAAAGCTGAAATGTCTCCCAGGAGTGATTCATCACCTTATTAAACACATGAGCTGTGTTCATGATCTAAAACATGCAGGAAACATGCTGGAAGTAGACTGCAGCACCGGGTATGTCAGCTAATTTTTTTCTAATTCCCAACAGGGCAACATGCCAGTCTGAAGTTGCAAGTGGAACATTGTGGCCACAAGGGGTGATAGTGGCCCTTCATTAACCCTGTAAAGGGTCATTTTAGCACATACTGGCTCAAGAAAACGACTTAAAAATATGAAAAAGTTGCAAAGTATCTCTTTAAAAGTGTGGAATTTAAAAAGCCTGACACGTCACCCTGTCATTTAGCATTCATGGACCCATGAAACTACATGGAGATGCAGTTGGTAGCACTATTACTTTGCAGCAAGACGGCTGCAGGTTCAAATCCCATTTGTGCTACCTTTCTGCATAGAATTAGAATGTTTCCCAAGTTTTTTATTTTTATTTTTTTCCAGGAACCTCGGTTTTTCCCACAGACCAAAATCATGCATGCAGGATGACTGGAGACTCTGAATTTGTCTTGAAGTGTGAATGATTTTGATTGGTTGTTCGTCTCCATGTGGCCCTGTGATGGACCGCTGACCTCTCTGCCTCTTGCCCAATGAATGCTAGAGATAGGGACCAGCAACCCGGGTGAGAACAGTTTAGATAAAGGATAAATGGAGTTACTTTAAATTTGCACCACAGCATTTTTTCTTGAAACTCATCAATCAAGTCAGAACTAATCAATTCCTACAAACTGAAGAGGTGCAAATGTATTAATACAGTACTTAATAGCGTTACTGATAAAAACTAATATTTCCTTTAGAAGGGTGTCATGGCTTTGCCCTCTCAAATAAGCATTTGCCAAAAAAAAACATCCAATGTCTACTGACATTTTAATGTATTCAACTGCATTTTATTATTAGAGCAAACATTAACATAAGTTCTTGCTTGGCAGCTGTCCAGTCATCTCCAGTATCTAGACTGACAGCAGCTTGGCTTTCTGCGAATCCCTGACCTGCATTCTGAACGGCTTCCTAAAACAAGAGGGCTTGGGGCCTGGCTGAGACAGAGGAGATTAGCCATGCAAGCATTTCCTCCATTTTGGAGGTTTGGTTATTG